CCAATCCTAGAACTGATCCTGTAACCGGTCCCAGAAGCAATCCTGCAACCAGTCCCGGAACTGATCCTGAAACCTACTACGGAACCTATCCCAGAACCGATCACGGAACTGGTCGCAGAATCAGTCCACGAATCGGTCCAGGAACCGATCACGAAACCGAACCCCGACAAGGGTGAACTCAACAAGGAAATTAAAACAACATTGTTCATTCACCACTAATTTATAAATACTCTGGTGGATTTTCTTTAGAACAACTGGGCCTTAATTTCTTTTATTTACATTATTCCATTATTTCTCCACGGTTCTCAGGTATTTAATGAATAATTCGTTTAATATTTTGAGCGTTTGTCTGGGCTTAGCTTTACAGCTCCTGGGCCTTTTTGTTGTGTGATAGGTATATTGTGGCCACGCATATCCTTCGAAAGTGTGCTGATTATGTTACTTAATATCTCTTGCGGTAATTATCAAAACGTCTGGCATGGGGCTAGTTGTTCATGCTGGGTTGATGGGTGATGCCGGTCCAAGGCCTGTTGTTCATGCTAGATTGATGGATGGTGCCGATCCGAAGCCTGTTGTTCATGCTAGGTTGATAGATGGTGCCGGTCCAAGGACAAAGCTCCTGGAGAGCAAAACGTTGCCACAATAAAATGTCACATTAGTTGCAACTGTGTCCTTTTACTTAACACATGTTTTCTCATGATGGGTTGGTGGGTGGTGCCGGTCCAAGGAATGTTTTTCATGCTGGGTTGATGGGTGTTACTGGCTCGAGGATGGATGTCAGTGATAGGTTGTTGATAGTTGAAGAATAGAGACACTTATGCAACACATGGGAATCTTTATTGAAGAAACGTTTCACCACACAGTGGCTTCATCAGTCCAATACAAAGTAGAAATGGGTAAGGAGAGCAGAAGTTTTGAGGTAATCAGTCCCTCAACCTGGAATCGATGTGTTCAGTCCATCACTCTTGCAGGAAGTGCAGCACAGGTGGCACTAGTGGCAGGTCCCACTGTGATCCCGCCTCCTCCTGCTTGGACTCATCTCACCGCAGTATATAAGCCACCTCTCTGACCCTGTGCTGCACTTCCTACAAGAGTGATGGACTGAACACATCGATTCCAGGTTGAGGGACTGATTACCTCAAAACTTCTGCTCTCCTTACCCATTTCTACTTTGTATTGGACTGATGAAGCCACTGTGTGGTGAAACGTTTCTTCAATAAAGATTCCCATGTGTTGCATAAGTGTCTCTATTCTTCAACTTGTCGGTTTTCAAAACCATTCATCAGTTGTTGATAGTGTTTTTCTAGATTCGGATGTCCATGCTGGACTATATGATATGCTGACGATATATTTTGAGACTGGAACATATGATCAACATATAATAATTATGAAACCAAAGCAGAGAATATACAAATAACCCGCATATAGGAGAAAGAAACGTATTACAACGTTTTGGTTCTCCCATATGAAGGTTATTTGTGTATTGTTCCCGTCACGGTATTGTGCATTAATTGAAGCAGAGAAGTGAATCTTCCCGAATAGAAGGGAGAGAGGGCAGACTAATTTAATACAGAGACTTTCCAAGGTAGTAGGACCAGAAAGATGCATGGAACAGTCGTCCGAGTAGGGTAATAGAGGCTAAGACTTTGGGTAGCTTTAAAAAAGAGATTGGACAGATATATGAGTGGGAGGGACTGGGTTTGATTGGTGTTTGGGGAACGGAAGCAAATTCTTCGGTAACTTTGGGAAAAGATTGGACAAAGGAGGATGACAAAGTTGATCCCATGTATCAGAAATCTTCCCCATGAGGATAGACTGAGGGCCCTGAATCTGCACTCTCTCGAAAAGCGTAGAATTAGGGGGAGATATGATTGAGGTGTATAAACTGAAAACAGGAATAAATAAAAGGGATATGAATAGCGTACTAAAAATATCTAGCCAAGACAGGACTCGCAGCAATGGTTTTAAGTTGGAAAAATTCAGATTCAGGAAGGATATAGGAAAGCACTGGTTTGATAATAGAGTTGTGGATGAGTGGAACAAACTCCCCAGTAAGTTATAGAGGCTGAAATGTTGTATAGTTTTAAAAATAGGTTGCATACATGAGTGGGTGCGGGTGGGTGTGAATTGGACCTGACTAGCTTGTGCTACTAGGTCAGATGCCGTGCTCTTTCCTAGAGTGAATGTGACCTAACCTAGCTAGGTTAGGGCATTGACTTAAGCCAGTAGGATACTTGGACTTGCCTCGCATGGGCCAGTAGGCCTGCTGCAGTGCTCCTTTCTTATGTAAGTTTTTAATACATGGGTGGTTTTGATAAAGTCCTGCCTTGCATGGGCCAGTAGGCCTGCCGCAGTGTTTATTCCATTCTTATGTTCTTATAAAAGAACGTAGAAGGTTCTACTGGCGTATATGAAAGGAATGCAATAAAAAGGGAAGAACGAAAACGAATAGAATAATGGACATAACGAGTATTTTGGCAATTCCACAATGAAATTACCGAGAAGCCCCTGGGCATCAACCCACAAAAGTGGGAATATTAAAAAGGTATAAAATACCGACAGGCTGTTAGGTAAGACACATGTGCAACAGTCGAAATAAAGATACCTAACTGCTGCACATGTGTCTTACCCACAAAAGTGGGTGTGGGTCCAGAATATATCAAATATTAAGTCCTGTAACAGTTACTAATGTAGAGTTCTATGTGTTAAAACAGTTTTATATTAACAATTCGTTTGAAAATTAATGGTTGTCACGTAGCTCAGTGGTTAGAACATTAGATTCACAATGAAAGAACCCGGGTTCGATCTTGGGGTGCGTGAATACACCTTGTACGCTTTCTTACACCTTTTGCTCTTGTTTTCCTAGCAGTAAATAGGTTGATAAATTAGACACATGTGCAACTCTTGGGTATCTTTATTGAGGAAACGTTTTGCCACACAGTGGCTTCATCGATTCTATTCAAAATTGATGGACTGACCACATCGACTAAAGGCTGAGGGACTGATTACCTCATTCTCCTCCTGTTCTTCAAGATTCTCCTTTGTATGGACTGATGAAGCCACTGTGTGGCGATACGTTTCCTCAATAAAGATACCCAAGAGTTGCACATGTGTCTAATTTATCAACTTATCGGTTCTCTGAACCATTGATCTACAGTAAATAGGTGTCTAGGTGTGGAAAAAGACACTTATGTACAGTTCAGGATATTTATTAAAGAAAACGTTTCGCCACGAGTGACTTCTTCAGTCCTAAGTTTCGCCACGAGTGACTTCTTCAGTCCTAATACAGAGAAAGTGTGTAAAGTAAAAGGACACAAGTGCAACTAATGTGACATTTTTATTGTGGCAACGTTTTGACAAAGCTCCTGGAGAGCGAAACGTTGCAACAATAAAAATGTCACATTAGTTGCACTTGTGTCCTTTTACTTTACATATCGTCGGTAATTCTACCAACATTATTACAGAGAAGGTGGAATGTCGAGTGTGTAGTGGTAGTACAACTGTGGCGAGAACAAAACAAACGAGTTTATTTCTTTATAAAGATTATAATATGTGTTTACATTTCATAATTTGATTGGCACAAAGAAAGGCCCTATTATGTGTTTACATTTCATAATTTGATTGGCACAAAGAAAGGCCCTATCATGCTGAGGAACTTCGGGCAGACTTAACCTAATACTTAAAGACTAGTTAAATCCAGACAGGTAAAGAGTGGCAAATTTCAATTATTCAATATATTACTCTATTATTAATATGGGGTAGTACAATTTATGGGTCTGAGAAGGACCTGTTAACATCATGTTACAGTGATCTTCAGAATGGGTAATATACTGTGGATTAGCAATTTTGATGTAGTGTAACTTCCGGATTTCTGATGGATAATGTTACTGACAGAAATTAAGGCAGCCTTTGTATACTTTCGCCATATTAATTCTTCTTCCTTAATAACTATTCTAGGCTCATTGAATTTCATGCTGTGTCTAACATCGTCCTTGGGTTGAACACAGGGCTATTACGGTTTCAGGTGTTCGTAAGCAGGTTTACTCAGGTACAGGTACCTGAGTACCTGTTATCCGTGTTTCTTACTTACCAACCTGTCGGTTTTGTATATCATTTTGTTATTCACACATAAATACAGGTATATAAACTATCATACATAACAGCATATGTGTAGAATACCTTGTGTTCCCTGATCCTAATAACCAGAGAGGTGGCTGTTTCCCCCACATATACTTTGTCACATCCTCCACATGGTATAGTCTATACACCTGCCCCCTTGCCAGTCATTCCAGGGTTTTTGCACTAAGTTTCTAATAGTAGTTGAGCTGGTATCACCATACCATTTCTGAGGTATATAGGTATTACTTGATTACTGTGAGTGTCAATATCTTCACATTGTTAACCAGTTTCCCATTTCTGGAGGGTTAGGCATAACAATCTTGAAAGTTTTGTTATATACATATGTATATATATATATATATATATATATATATATATATATATATATATATATATATATATATATATATATATATATATATATATATATATATATATATATATATATATATATATATATATATATATATATAATATAATATATGATAAATTAGATACATGTGCAACACTTGGGTATCTTTAATCAGTGTTGCACATGTGCCTAATTCATCAACTTGTCGGTTCTATGAACCATTTATCTATCTATCTATATATATATATATATATAAGAACATAAGAACGAAGGAACACTGCAGTAGGCCTACTGGCCCATGCGAGGCAGGTCCAAGTCTCCTACCGGCTTAAGCCAATGCACCCAACCTAGTCAAGTCAGGTCACATTGTGACCTATATATATATATATAATATATATATTATATATATATATATATATATATATGTATATATATATTATTCTATATAAAATTACGGTAGATAGTAAACAAGTTTAGGTGAGGTAGATGGTTTCAAAACAAAGTTATTGTTTACATGAGTGAGCCGCCGGGCAGCGTCACCTCTCCGTCCCTCAGGAAGCTGAGCTCGGTACAAGTTATCCTGTGTGTCAGTGTGTGTTATAAACCCAGCACAGAAAGTAGCGTCAACTCCCCCACCTTGAAACAACCTCTTAAACTGTACGTCTTGGGAAGAAGAATAATGTAGATCTCATTAAAAAAATACCAGGGACTGTTTAACTGAGGATAGAGCTAATATGTAATAATTTTTTATCCAGGTTGGGTTAGGCAGCATCACCGGTGTTTAAGTTTTAAAAACCTCTCAGGAAGTTTTGTATTTATATCTACTGTACTTAATTACCATGAACTTTATTCATATTTTAACCCCTTAGGGGAGGTTCCTTGACGCTGGTGAGGGGCTCTTGATCCAGGGAATTGGATCTGTGCTCCAGTTCCCTGAATTAAGCTCAATACTTTCCATCTCCCCCTCCTCACAGGCGCTGTATAGTCCTACGGGTTTAGCGCTTCCCCATGATTATAATAATTATAATGCTATTCATAGGTTAAGAAGTGAAGGAATAAACAGTAAATTTGATTCCTATTGCGTCTCCTTTTATTATAACTGATTTTCACATAGTTGGCTTATTTAGTTGTTTTAATTTTTAAGGTTTAAATAATAAGATACGTATTACAAGAAATAAGTCAGTGACTTTTTTTTGGTTATCCTAGGTAATCTACACTTTGATAATTTACACTGTGTGTACCTGTGTCTAAATGAACTTACTTTCTGTATATATTATAATTAAAGTACTGTATTGTTTGCAGGTGTGTGAGAGTAATTATGGCACAAGTGTCGACCTTAGTTCAAGAAGTTCTCTCTCGTAAATCTGCCGGCCAGACCATAGCATCGTGCAAGAAGTGGGCTGTGTTTATTATCCTCTTCATTGCTGTGTTGGTGCATGATCTGTGAGTTTTCTTAAATTTTTATATGAAGTTCATCTAAAGTTGTTCATGTGAAGGTTGACTTGAGAATTTGATGGTTACTCTAAAAATTCTATAATACTTTAGGGCAGCAAATGTATATTGATCTCAGAAGCCCAATGTATGTTGCATTTTACTTGTTAACTTGGATTCTTTTAAAAGAAATACATGTAAATGGAAGAAGGGAGGTGAAAAAGACCATGTGTTCCTGGTTAATAACATTATACAGTGGACCCCCGCATAACGATTACCTCCGAATGCTACCAATTATGACCTGGAGTTTACCTGGAGAGAGTTCCGGGGGTCAACGCCCCCGCGGCCCGGTCTGAGACCAGGCCTCCTGGTGGATCAGAGCCTGATCAACCAGGCTGTTGCTGCTGGCTGCACGCAAACCAACATACGAGCCACAGTCCGGCTGATCCGGAACTGACTTTAGGTGCTTGTCCAGTGCCAGCTTGAAGACTGCCAGGGGTCTGTTGGTAATCCCCCTTATGTGTGCTGGGAGGCAGTTGAACAGTCTCGGGCCCCTGACACTTATTGTATGGTCTCTTAACGTGCTAGTGAAACCCCTGCTTTTCATTGGGGGGATGGTGCATCGTCTGCCAAGTCTTTTGCTTTCGTAGTGGGTGATTTTTCGTGTGCAAGTTCGGTACTAGTCCCTCTAGGATTTTCCAGGTGTATATAATCATGTATCTCTCCCTCCTGCGTTCCAGGGAATACAGGTTTAGGAACCTCAAGCGCTCCCAATAATTGAGGTGTTTTATCTCCGTTATGCGCGCCGTGAAAGTTCTCTGTACATTTTCTAGGTCGGCAATTTCACCTGCCTTGAAAGGTGCTGTTAGTGTGCAGCAATATTCCAGCCTAGATAGAACAAGTGACCTGAAGAGTGTCATCATGGGCTTGGCCTCCCTAGTTTTGAAGGTTCTCATTATCCATCCTGTCATTTTTCTAGCAGATGCGATTGATACAATGTTATGGTCCTTGAAGGTGAGATCCTCCGACATGATCACTCCCAGGTCTTTGACGTTGGTGTTTTCGCTCTATTTTGTGGCCAGAATTTGTTTTGTACTCTGATTGAAGATTTAATTTCCTCATGTTTACCATATCTGAGTAATTGAAATTTCTCATCGTTTGAACTTCATATTGTTTTCTGCAGCCCACTGAAAGATTTGGTTGATGTCTGCCTGGAGCTTTGCAGTGTCTGCAATGGAAGACACTGTCATGCAGATTCGGGTGTCATCTGCAAAGGAAGACACGGTGCTGTGGCTGACATCCTTGTCTATGTCGGATATAAGGATGAGGAACAAGATGGGAGCGAGTACTGTGCCTTGTGGAACAGAGCTTTTCACCGTAGCTGCCTCGGACTTTACTCTGTTGACGACTACTCTCTGTGTTCTGTTAGTGAGGAAATTATAGATCCATCGACCGACTTTTCCTGTTATTCCTTTAGCACGCATTTTGTGCGCTATTACGCCATGGTCACACTTTGTCGAAGGCTTTTGCAAAGTCTGTATATATTACATCTGCATTCTTTTTGTCTTCTAGTGCATTTAGGACCTTGTCGTAGTGGTCCAATAGTTGAGACAGACAGGAGCGACCTGTTCTAAACCCATGTTGCCCTGGGTTGTGTAACTGATGGGTTTCTAGATGCGTGGTGATCTTGCTTCTTAGGACCCTTTCAAAGATTTTTATGATATGGGATGTTAGTGCTATTGGTCTGTAGTTCTTTGCTGTTGCTTTACTGCCCCCTTTGTGGAGTGGGGCTATGTCTGTTGTTTTTAGTAACTGTGGGACGACCCCCGTGTCCATGCTCCCTCTCCATAGGATGGAAAAGGCTCGTGATAGGGGCTTCTTGCAGTTCTTGATGAACACAGAGTTCCATGAGTCTGGCCCTGGGGCAGAGTGCATGGGCATGTCATTTATCGCCTGTTCGAAGTCATTTGGCGTCAGGATAACATCGGATAGGCTTGTGTTAATCAAATTTTGTGGCTCTCTCATAAAAAATTCATTTTGATCTTCGACTCTCAGTCTGGTTAGCGGCTTGCTAAAAACTGAGTCATATTGGGACTTGAGTTAGCTCACTCATTTCCTTGTTGTCATCTGTGTAGGACCCATCTTGTTTAAGTAGGGGCCCAATACTGGACGTTGTTCTCGATTTTGATTTGGCATAGGAGAAGAAATACTTTGGGTTTCTTTCGATTTCATTTATGGCTTTTAGTTCTTCCCGCGATTCCTGACTCCTAAAGGATTCTTTTAGCTTAAGTTCGATGCTTGCTATTTCTCTGACCAGTGTCTCCCTACGCATTTCAGATATATTGACCTCTTTAGCCGCTCTGTTATTCTTTTCCGTCGCCTGTAAAGGGAGCGCCTGTCTCTTTCTGTTTTACATCTACTCCTCCTTTTTCTTAGAGGAATAAGCCTTGTGCATACATCGAGTGCTACCGAGTTAATCTGTTCTAGGCATAAGTTGGGGTCTGTGTTGCTTAGTATATCTTCCCAGCTTATATCGGTTAGACTTGGTTTTACTTGGTCCCACTTTATGTTTTTGTTATTGAAGTTGAATTTGGTGAATGCTCCCTCGTGACTAATCTCATTATGTCGGTCTGGGGCTCCGCGCATACATGACTGAACCTCAATTATGTTGTGATCTGGAGTATATTGTTTTTGATATGGTGATATTTCTTATCAGATCATCATTGTTAGTGAAGATGAGGTCTAGTGTATTCTCCAGTCTAGTAGGCTCTATTATTTGCTGGTTTAAATTGAATTTTGTGCAGAGATTTAAAAGCTCGCGTGAGTGTGAGTTTTCATCAGAGCTGCCTCCTGGTGTTATTACTGCAACAATATTATTTGCTATATTCCTCCATTTTAGGTGCCTTAAGTTGAAATCCCCCAGGAGCAAGATGTTGGGTGCAGGAGCTGGAAGTTTTCCAGACAGTGGTCAATTTTTAACAGCTGTTCCTGGAATTGCTGGGATGTTGCATCCGGAGGCTTGTAGACTATCACAATGACTAGGTTTTGGTTCTCGACCTTTACTGCTAAAACTTCCACTACATCATTTGAGGCATTTAGCAGTTCTGTGCAAACAAGTGACTCTGCAATGTACAGGCCAACCCCCCCCTTTTGCCTGTTCACTCTGTCACATCTGTATAGGTTGTAACCTGGATCCATATTTCGTTGTCTAAGTGATCCTTTATGTGGGTCTCAGTGAAAGCCGCGAACATTGCCTTTGCCTCTGCAAGCAGTCCACGGATGAAAGGTATTTTGTTGTTTGTTGCTGGCTTTAGACCCTGTATATTTGCAAAGAAGAATGTTATCGGACTGGTGGTATTGTTGGTACTGGGGGGGATTTTTTTCCGGCATTAGTATCTGTATCTGTTGGTTTGGAGTGGAGGCCATCGACTGTGGTTCCACTCCAGGAATGACTGGATTTGGTGTACGATTTCTGCCATTTCCTGCCAGTTTTTTTTCCTTCCTGGCACTAAAAAACCTCTCCCTCTTGAGTGGCTGTGGCTACCCAGGTTTTCCCATGGCCTGGATGTTTTGTATCTTTTTGTCCCCTTTAGATGGTATGCCTGGCAATTTAAGTTATAGCACAGTCTTTCCTGTACTGAAGAGGTACACAGTTCAGGGTGAAAAAGCTTACAGGAAGGGAGTTTGCATTTTCCTGTTGTCATATGGGCATGGCATTTCCTAGGGTGGTCATAGTTGCACGTCCCATCTGTTTTTTCCAGATTTCCCATGCCAGCAGATACCGAGTGCATAGTATGTGCACAGGCTTGGTTTCCGTTTGCCTTGGGTTTTCTGTGACTGTATTCCCTGTTGGTGCATGTTTCCCTGTCTTACTTCTATCCTCCCTAGCACCAACAATGGAGCTCCAACCATTTGTTTTTGGTAATATATCCTCACTATTGCTAGTGGAGTCCTCTTGTTTGCTATTTCCTGCGGTATTTCTAGTTTGCAATATTGGTTTTATCTTATCTTTGACTACACTTGTTTCCCTACTATGGCTCCTGTCCCCTATGCGGTCATTCATATGTATTCCTTCCTGCATATAGTTCCCGACTACCTGGACAAATCTCCAGCTTCACCATTACTGTCTCCCAGGACAGCATCTCCCAGCTTCCCCATTACTGTCTCCCAGGACAGCACACTCCAGCTTCACCATTACTGCTCCCAGGACAGCACCTCCAGCTTCACCATTACTGTCTCCCAGGACAGCACCTCCAGCTTCCCCATTACTGTCTCCCAGGACAGCACTATCAGCCCCCCATTTACTGACTACCAGGACATCATCTCCAGCCTTACAGTTTCTGACTACATGGCCAGTAATCAAGGGCAGTACCATTCAGCCCGGACTTTTTATGTTCCCATCTGTTTGTAGAAAGCTTCCCCGGTTTTTCTATGAAGCAGCTTTGATGTTGACCTCTTTTAATACCCTTGTGATTTTAGTCCACAGATTTATCTCATTTGGGCATACCCAAAAACACTTCCCTGTTTTAATACTGCTTGTAGCTAGTTCTTGGATATCTGCACAAGGGGCGTGACACCAATTTCCACAGAAATGACAATTTATGCATGTGGAAGCCCGTTTTGTTTGACTGACCACAGACTACACACAGCTTCATAATGATTTGAATGGTTTATTTACTGCAATTCTACTAGCAACCTCTTGAATATTCTATTAATAACCTGCTAGGTGGTGCACAACGAAACCGTTTGAAACCAGTCCAGGGTTTGGACCAGTCAAGGGTTTCGGACCAGTCAAGGGTTCGGACCAGTCAAGGGTTCGGACCAGTCTATCTGATCTGATCAGTGGGTCACTTATTTTAAACCATACTGGTCGGTGATTTGAGCTAACACATGAAGGATCTACTGGAAATTATCTACCCGAGTAATATGTGATTTGATTGATACAAAAGTATAACTTGCGTGTTGAAGAGCCGGTGACTGCTGGCACTCCTACAATGACGAACGTCGAGCCTCCACCTTTGTTTATCAATCGCTGTATCTAGCTTCTCTATTTTTTTTTTTCCGTCTCCACCACAATAAATGCTATATTATCACTATAGTTGACTGGTGCAAATTTTGGAGGAAGGGCGCTTTTTCTGTAGTAATAATTGCTTCTCGTTGTGTATATTGCGACCGCTGGTAACTACAGGTTATATGAAATTCACAGTAACGTCTGGTATTTCAAGAAAAAGAAACTAATGAAAGTCACTCCACTTCACTAAGTACCATTATAATACTGGTTAGTTGCTACTACAACACTGTATTCTGCTATTCACTGGTATCACTAGATTATATGCGAGTACACTAGCAGGCCAGGAAGATTATTAAAAACAGCTGACCTGTAAGTGTATTTATGTAAGTGCATTTGTACGTGTATGTTTGGGGTCTGAAATGGACTAATCTACTTCACAATATTTCTTATGGGAACAAATTCGGTCAGTACTGGCACCTGAACATACTTCTGGAGTGAAAAAATATCGTTAACCGGGGGTCCACTGTATTGTATAAAATGCATCCAGTATACTATATACAGTAGTTGGAAATGTTAAATGTTTTAAAATATTTAGGTACAGTAGTACAGCTGTACCAATAATTACTGATATTTAAAGTGTGCCTCTTTCAAGACAGTAATAGTATGAATGATGGTGAAAGTGTTTCTTTTTCAGGTTACCCTGCTTTGGTGGGAGCCAGCCAGTGTGTTAAAAAATATAATATTAAGTAAAGGTTAGAAATAGGTCATTAGTTGTAGTAAGTTTGAAAACAATGACTTCATGATGTGGTCATGAAATATTTAATAGTTTGGAACCATTCTACCAAGCAGAGAGTACAGTGTACAGTGGTACCTTGAGTTACGAGCCTAATTCGTCCCAGAAGGCTGTTCGAGTGCCGATACTGAACGAATTTATTCTCGTAAGGAATAATGTAAATTAGATTAGTCCTTTTCAGACCCCTAAAAATACACTTACAAAAGCACTTGCAAAAATACACTTACATAATTGTTCGAGTTGGGAGCTGTTCGAAACTCGAGGTACCACTGTAGTATTTGCATATATACAAAGTATTTTTATAAATATTTTAATGTTTAGTAAGAGGCATATATAAGTGCTTTATGTAGGAGAGAAGAAGAAGCTTTTCCAATAAAAGTTGGACTTGGATGAGGAAGAAAGCTCTTTTACCCCTTTTCTCCTTCAAATGTGAATTGATAGTGATCAAAGTTGAACTAAAATGTTACCTAAATCTTTATCTCCATTTTGTGGATTAATTGTGTATTCCAGCACTGTTATTATGTTTATTCTATTTAATTTATGAGGATTGCATTCTACAGAAAGGACGGTGGGAATCTCAGTGGAAGGAGCAAATTGTGGTGGTGGACGTGTCTGGTCCTCTGTGTGATAGCCACTGTCATCTTGGTAAAACTTATCTTAAGCTATATTATAAACTTTTTCACCCTCAATGCTATTGAAGTGAATGACAAACAACGGTCTCTCTTCTCCATTAATGAAACAGGTATATACAAATTTTTATAATTTTGTTACTTAATTTCTGTTAAAATATTTATGATTTATATATTTCCCTGCTTACTAAAGTATGCATCAAGAAGTGTACTTATCTCGGCATATATATGCTGAGGGCTTGCTTTAATCCTGATTCTGGACATTAAATTCCTCTTCACAGGTGGCTTTTAGATCTGTATCCTAAATGACCCTCATTCAGTTTTGATAGGCTTTAAAGCTAAAAAAAACTATCAAAACTGAAGTATGCTAGTTTTTTACAGTTAGGTCATAAGAAATAGAGCCTTTATATTCCGAATAATGGTTTCTATGGAATTGAACCTTACCTCCCAAGGGTCTGGAAAATATATGATGGCAGAAACAACAAAAGAGAACGGGAGGGGATGTTACAGTTTTGAGGGTCATTTGAATTATGATGTATGTAAATGTATTTAAGGCAATGATTGTGAATGTGTTTTGTTTTGGCCACCCTTACCTTGATGGGAGACAATTGATGCACAGTGATACCTCTCATATCTGAACTATATGGACCGAGACCACTTTGGAAACATGGAGTTTCCGGATACATGAAGGGAAAAAAATGCGCATCCATACCATCATATCGCCATCTGTACCCCGTCATATCGCCATTGGCGACGGCGTTGTAGGTTTAAAAAATGAGTCCAGTGTTGTTTGGCAGTGGGACCAGACACTCCGGGCTCGAATAACAGCCTCCAGGATTTCACGGACCACAGGACCATAACTTTTCAAATGGGCTGTAGACAGTGGATGCTCCACATATTCCAAAAGTGTTTTGACACCTGCCCTTGCTGCTGAAGTTTTTAGTCTTGGAGGCATTATGTCATTGTTGTCATCGTCACTTTCAGAATGTTCCAGGTGCAACACTGATTCTGCAGTCTCTGCATCCGTCAGAGATTGCACACCAGGGTTGTCTTCGTCACACTCTAGCCAGTCCTGCATGTCGTCTTCTGTAGCTTTTTCCCCAGCCTTGGACCAACCTGCCTCCACGTGTGACAATGTTTTCCTCTTTTTTCCTAAAGTAAGCACATTCCTGGCTGTCTTTGGTGCTATACACAAGATAGCTAGGACAAAATACAGCTGTAATAATGCTAAAATGAAGATGAAGAGCACGACTCCTAGTGGCCATCTGGTACACTAAAGTGCCTACCAAGTTTGATTCAGCCTTCTGCCGTATCCGAAGGGCTGTTTGGATGTTTCGGTAATAATTTTAGAATTTTGCCCTTTCCCAGGGCCTGTTCGGATATTGGCGTGGTTTGGATAATGGCAGGCCAGATATGCGAGGTATCACTGTAATTAAAAAATAGAGTATTTTCATGGGTAACAAAGCATTGGTTCTCATGAAAGTATAGGACATGCCCTTCTTTTCATTGCAGATGCTGCCTTTAGCGACACTCACAATTCACAAGAGTAAATATTACAGCTTGCTGCACTTCCTTCCATTTTGGTCTATATTGTCAAACTGCTGTACATTATCTTTATATGGCATCTTGTTTCCTTTCATGGTCATTTATCATTTAATACTTATTAGAGGATTGATGAACCGAGAAAACTGATTGGTTATATACACACCAAGAGGTGTGCACAAGTAATATGAAGTTTTAACGACTCTTGTGCAGTTAATAATCTTTTAAGTGTAACAAGCGAGTCTAGGTTTATGTAAAACTGTAGTATATAAGGTGACAAACCTAGGAAATAATTCCATGTAGCTGTGTATTGTATTGATAGGTGTATTTTGTTTTCAGACGTTGGGTTTAAGCCAGCAACACCAAAGAAATTGAATTCTACACCAGTTGTTGATAAGTCTGTATCGCTGTCATCTTTGTTTAATGCTACGTTACGTGGTTCGTCACCCATGAGCCCACCAGCTGCTGTTTCACCTGTCAATATGAGCACTGCTTCTTGGAGTAACCTCTCCTATCAGGGCTCCCCTTCACTGCAAAGTCCTGGATCCTCTGCCACTAGCCCAGGTAAATAATACCGTTCCAGTCACGGTATTGTGCCTTTTTTTGTTAAATAATGCTAGAATTATGAATATCATTACACATTGGTTGTTTATTGCATAGATATTTTTATGCTGATTCTCTTTATTTATTTTTAATAATACAATGGATGCTTGAAAATCATCAGACACTTATTCTAATGGATGCTCAACTGTCAGTCTAAGGTACTGTATTTGGAAGTGAAAATGGTCAGCTGCCAGGGTTGAAGGTAAAGAATTGAAAAAAAAAAAGTGAAAATTATATAAAAAATATGCTTACCTATTACCTACTACAAGTATGGTATTTAATAATTAGTATTACCAATTTTCCATGTTTACATTATTTGACTTGTAAATCATTAATGAATGATAGCAAAATATCATGAACTCAGATGAAAAATACTATTTTTTTATTTATAATATAGTTCTAATTGTGTTAATGTTTAAAATTTGAAAGAAAAGAGATTTGAGCTTTAGAAATCCATCCAGCTTATGTGAAAAAGACTAAGACTGGTTTTCAGTTTGGGTTCTTAATTTTTATTGTTTACTACACTCCTCATGGGAGGTTCCTTGAGGCTGGTGAGAGGGCTCTTGATCAAAGGAATTGGACCTGTTCTTCCCTTCCTTGGACTGAGCCTGAATGTCTTCTGCTTCCCCAGGCGCTGTATAACCACTATAAGTTTAGTTTTCTCACGAATATAAAAATAATACAGCCTCTCCTCACTTAATGACAGAGTTCTATTCCTAAGACCACGTCATTAAACGAATTCATCGCTAAGTAAGGAGCTTACTATAATGATAGTGGGCTTGTGTCAACCATCTTTGATATTGTTTTAATGTCACCTTTGCTCTGTTTATAACATTTCTGGTATATTTAAAAAAAAAATATGTTTATACAGTATTTTATTTTTTTTTTTTTTTTATTATCACACCGGCCGATTCCCACCAAGGCAGGGTGGCCCGAAAAAGAAAAACTTTCACCATCATTCACTCCATCACTGTCTTGCCAGAAGGGTGCTTTACACGACAGTTTTTAAACTGCAACATTAACACCCCTCCTTCAGAGTGCAGGCACTGTACTTCCCATCTCCAGGACTCAAGTCCGGCCTGCCGGTTTCCCTGAATCCCTTCATAAATGTTACTTTGCTCACACTCCAACAGCACGTCAAGTATTAAAAACCATTTGTCTCCATTCACTCCTATCAAACACGCTCACGCATGCCTGCTGGAAGTCCAAGCCCCTCGCACACAAAACCTCCTTTACCCCCTCCCTCCAACCCTTCCTAGGCCGACCCCTACCCCGCCTTCCTTCCACTACAGACTGATACACTCTTGAAGTCATTCTGTTTCGCTCCATTCTCTCTACATGTCCGAACCACCTCAACAACCCTTCCTCAGCCCTCTGGACAACAGTTTTGGTAATCCCGCACCTCCTCCTAACTTCCAAACTACGAATTCTCTGCATTATATTCACACCACACATTGCCCTCAGACATGACATCTCCACTGCCTCCAGCCTTCTCCTCGCTGCAACATTCATCACCCATGCTTCACACCCATATAAGAGCGTTGGTAAAAATATACTCTCATACATTCCCCTCTTTGCCTCCAAGGACAAAGTTCTTTGTCTCCACAGACTCCTAAGTGCACCACTCACTCTTTTTCCCTCATCAATTCTATGATTCACCTCATCTTTCATAGACCCATCCGCTGACACGTCCACTCCCAAATATCTGAATACGTTCACCTCCTCCATACTCTCTCCCTCCAATCTGATATTCAATCTTTCATCACCTAATCTTTTTGTTATCCTCATAACCTTACTCTTTCCTGTATTCACCTTTAATTTTCTTCTTTTGCACACCCTACCAAATTCATCCACCAATCTCTGCAACTTCTCTTCAGAATCTCCCAAGAGCACAGTGTCATCAGCAAAGAGCAGCTGTGACAACTCCCACTTTGTGTGTGATTCTTTATCTTTTAACTCCACGCCTCTTGCCAAGACCCTCGCATTTACTTCTCTTACAACCCCATCTATAAATATATTAAACAACCACGGTGACATCACACATCCTTGTCTAAGGCCTACTTTTACTGGGAAAAAATTTCCCTCTTTCCTACATACTCTAACTTGAGCCTCACTATCCTCGTAAAAACTCTTCACTGCTTTCAGTAACCTACCTCCTACACCATACACTTGCAACATCTGCCACATTGCCCCCCTATCCACCCTGTCATACGCCTTTTCCAAATCCATAAATGCCACAAAGACCTCTTTAGCCTTATCTAAATACTGTTCACTTATATGTTTCACTGTAAACACCTGGTCCACACACCCCCTACCTTTCCTAAAGCCTCCTTGTTCATCTGCTATCCTATTCTCCGTCTTACTCTTAATTCTTTCAATTATAACTCTACCATACACTTTACCAGGTACACTCAACAGACTTATCCCCCTATAATTTTTGCACTCTCTTTTATCCCCTTTGCCTTTATACAAAGGAACTATGCATGCTCTCTGCCAATCCCTAGGTACCTTACCCTCTTCCATACATTTATTAAATAATTGCACCAACCACTCCAAAACTATATCCCCACCTGCTTTTAACATTTCTATCTTTATCCCATCAATCCCGGCTGCCTTACCCCCTTTCATTTTACCTACTGCCTCACGAACTTCCCCCACACTCACAACTGGCTCTTCCTCACTCCTACAAGATGTTATTCCTCCTTGCCCTATACACGAAATCACAGCTTCCCTATCTTCATCAACATTTAACAATTCCTCAAAATATTCCTTCCATCTTCCCAATACCTCTAACTCTCCATTTAATAACTCTCCTCTCCTATTTTTAACTGACAAATCCATTTGTTCTCTAGGCTTTCTTAACTTGTTAATCTCACTCCAAAACTTTTTCTTATTTTCAACAAAATTTGTTGATAACATCTCACCCACTCTCTCATTTGCTCTCTTTTTACATTGCTTCACCACTCTCTTAACTTCTCTCTTTTTCTCCATATACTCTTCCCTCCTTGCATCACTTCTACTTTGTAAAAACTTCTCATATGCTAACTTTTTCTCCCTTACTACTCTCTTTACATCATCATTCCACCAATCGCTCCTCTTCCCTCCTGCACCCACTTTCCTGTAACCACAAACTTCTGCTGAACACTCTAACACTACATTTTTAAACCTACCCCATACCTCTTCGACCCCATTGCCTATGCTCTCATTAGCCCATCTATCCTCCAATAGCTGTTTATATCTTACCCTAACTGCCTCCTCTTTTAGTTTATAAACCTTCACCTCTCTCTTCCCTGATGCTTCTATTCTCCTTGTATCCCATCTACCTTTTACTCTCAGTGTAGCTACAACTAGAAAGTGATCTGATATATCTGTGGCCCCTCTATAAACATGTACATCCTGAAGTCTACTCAACAGTCTTTTATCTACCAATACATAATCCAACAAACTACTGTCATTTCGCCCTAAAATCATATCGTGTATACTTATTTATCCTCTTTTTCTTAAAATATGTATTACCTATAACTAAACCCCTTTCTATACAAAGTTCAATCAAAGGGCTCCCATTATCATTTACACCTGGCACCCAAACTTACCTACCACACCCTCTCTAAAAGTTTCTCCTACTTTAGCATTCAAGTCCCCTACCACAATTACTCTCTCACTTGGTTCAAAGGCTCCTATCCATTCACTTAACATCTCCCAAAATCTCTCTCTCTCCTCTGCATTCCTCTCTTCTCCAGGTGCATACACGCTTATTATGACCCACTTCTCGCATCCAACCTTTACTTTAATCCACATAATTCTTGAATTTACACATTCATATTCTCTTTTCTCCTTCCATAACTGATCATTTAACATTACTGCTACCCCTTCCTTTGCTCTAACTCTCTCAGATACTCCAGATTTAATCCCATTTATTTCCCCCCACTGAAACTCTCCTACCCCCTTCAGCTTTGTTTCGCTTAGGGCCAGGACATCCAACTTCTTTTCATTCATAACATCAGTCATAACATCAGTACACAGTAGTGTACTGTATATTGAAATAAACAGATCAGAGGAAATCAGCTCTAGTATACATTATTTAGGTATGAATACTGGTCAGAGAGCCTGTTGTAAATTCGAGGCATTGGTAAACAAGTACGTCGCTAAGTGAAGAGAGGCTATAATTGGTCCCTGTTTGTTGACCTTTGCCACAATTTTACATACATCCTTATTGTGATTGTTGCTGAGTTACAGTGTTGTACTTTATAGAATGAATTGGCTGACTTGGCTTATTTGGCAACAATTATTTTGCCAAACTATGTAAATGTCTATTGATTTTGTATATTTCTTGAAAAATGGTAAGAATATTGCAAACTTTATTTTGAATACTATATTTCATTGATATTAAATGATGCTAATTAAAATTAAAATGAACTTGTATAAGCTACATAGGATGATTAAGTTATATTGTTGTACAAGTACTTTCATTAATTCTAGCAAGACTCTTTGGCCACTAAGTTAGTTGTTGTACAAAATATGTACGGTATATTGCACATCATGTATCTGTCTATGAATCCCATAAGAAGGAATTGAAATAATTTTTTGTAAGAAATCTTGTCTTGTTTGACTTCATTTGCAAAAATATGAGTTGTATATTTTTATTAAATTTTGAAAGTGTTGAGCATGAATAATTTTGAATAACTGGAAAACTAATAGGGTATTTAGTGCTGTGTCAAAACTTGTTTGTACATATGAGTTACCTTGCAAGGTAATATTCATGAAGAAATTCAGGGGAAACCGTCTAGCCGGATTTAAGTCTTAGAGGTGTGAATTACAGTGCCTGCACTCTGTAGGGAGGGTGGTGATACTGAGTTTGGAAGAGCACCTAAGCTATAATGCTTGCACCCCTCTAGCAAGATAATGATGGGTGAAGGCTGGTGTTTTAAAAAATATATATATGAGCATCTTTAAGAACTTGCTTAGTTATTGTTCTTAGTGTCTGACAAAACACTTTTTTTTTAGCAGGCTTGAACTTCAGCATGTCTAGCAACAGCAGTGGCTCTGCTACAGCAAACTCCTGGGCATTTCATTGCAACCAGTTGTCTCTGCTCAACTCTTCCTATAATGTTATGACAGTAAGTGAAAATACTCATAATTTTTCACAACTAAGCAAGAAAATGAAGACAGATCTTCAGACAAAATTTCAGTCTATAATTAACATTATCAAGCCCACTTGATAATGCTCAAGACCGACTGATTTGTCTAGTTTGTGGGTTGTGAATTGTTCCAGCCACAGATTTGTTATTTTTATTCATAATTTTTTACCATTTATATTTTGTTTTTCTTTGCTGATTCTACTTCAGTACTTTTTGTATAACAAAAATGGATTTTTTTTTTTAACACGTCGGTCGTTTCACACTGAGGCAGGGTGACCCAAAAAGAAAGAAAAATACTTTCATCATCATTTAACACTTTCACCATCACTCATACAGAGTGCAGAGGCACTCAGATACGACAGTTTAGAAGTCCCTCCAAACTGCCAATGTCCCAAACCCCTCCTTTAAAGTGTAGGCATTGTACTTTCCATTTCCAGGACTCAAGTCTGGCTAACCAGTTTTCCTGAATCCCTTCACAAAATATTCCCCTGCTCACACTCCAACAGCTCGTCAGGTCCCAAACACCTTTCGTCTCCATTCACTCCTATCTAACACTCTCATGCATGCTTGCTGGAAGTCCAAGCCCCACGCCCACTTTGGCAGGATTGTTAGTCTTTTTTTCTATATCATCTTTTAACAAACCGGCCATATCCCACCAAGGCAGGGTGACCCAAAAAGAAAAACAGAAGTTTCTCTTTTTAACTTTTGTAATGTATACAGGAGAAGGGGTTACTAGCTCCTTGCTCCTGGCATTTTAGCTGCCTCTTATGACACGCATGGCTTACAGAGGAAGAATTCTGTTCCACTTACCCATGGTAATAAGAGGAAATAAACCAGACGGTTGAGCATCGGATTGTCAATTTACGGACCGCAGATCGAGCCCCTCTCCCACCCTTCTGTTTAAAATTTCTAGGTAGTAGGTTGGTAGACAGCAACCGCCCAGGGAGGTACTATCGTCCTGCCAAGTGAGTGTAAAACGAAAGCCTGTAATCGTTTTACATGATGGTAGGATTGCTGGTGTCCTTTTTTCTGTCTCATAAACATGCAAGATTTCAGGTACGTCTTGCTACTTCTACTTACACTTAGGTCACACTACACATACATGTACAAGCATATATATACACACCCCTTTGAGTTTTCTTCTATTTTCTTTCTAGTTCTTGTTCTTGTTTATTTCCTCTTACCTCCATGGGGAAGTGGAACAGAATTCTTCCTCCGTAAGCCATGCGTGTTGTAAGAGGTTACTAAAATGCCGGGAGCAAGGGGCTAGTGACCCCTTCTCCTGTATATATTACTAAATGTAAAAGGAGAAACTTTCATTTTTCCTTTTGGGCCACCCCACCTTGGTGGGATATGGCCGGTGTGTTGAAAGAAAGAAAGAAAGAACAAGTAAGAAAATAGAAGAAAACCCAGAGGGGTGTGTGTATATATATGCTTGCACATGCATGTGTAGTGCGACTTAAGTGTAAGTAGAAGTAGCAAGATGCACCTGAAATCTAGCATGTGTATGAGACAGAAAAATGACACCAGCAATCCTACCATCATGTAAAACAATTACAGGCTTCTGTTTTACACTCACTTGGCTGGACAGTAGTACCACCCTGGGCAGTTGCTGTCTAGCAACCTACTATCTATGTTTTTCTATATCATAAGCATAAAATGGCAGGTAAGGCTTGCAGCTGCTACTTATGTTCAATACATGCCATGTAGTATATACAGATTTGCATGTGTGTGTGTGTGTGTTTATGTACACTTACGAGTTTTCTTCTGAGTTTTTAATAGTTCTTGTTCCCGTAGTGTTCCCTTTCAAGTTCTTTTTGGAGGTTTGTCAGAATCCTTCTGTAAGCAAAGTGAGTTGTAGGAAGCAACTAAAATGCCTAGAATGAGGGGCAGTAACCCCTTTTGTGTCAATTACTAAAAAGCTAATAAAAAGTTTTTACTCTGTATGAAGTATATGGAGGAAAAAGAAAGAGGTTAAAAAGAGTGGTTAGGAAGTGCAAAAGAACAGCAGATAAGAGAATAGGGTAATCTTTGACAGTGGGTAGAATAAGAAAAGGGTAAAGTAGTTGGGTGAGATAGGATTAAGACTGAGATGTTAACAGTAAGTGGGGATGCAGTTTTGAATTGGTTAAGTGTATTTGGTGTATGCATGAAAGAAGGGAGGGTACCCAAGGCTTGGCAGAGAGCATGCATAGTTCCTTTGTATAAGGGAAATGGGACAGTGAGGAGTAGGGTGGAGGCAGTGGAGCTATCAGGTTTGAAAACAATGTGTATTGTGTGTCCTGGAAATGGGAAGTATGATGCCTGTACTTTAAAGGAGAGGTTTAGGATATTGGCAGTTTGGAGGGACTTCTAAACTGTCGTATCTGAGCACCTCTGCAAAGACAGTGATTATGTGTGAGTGAAGTGAAAATGTTGAATGATAATGAAAGTGTTTTCTTTTTGGGGATTTTCTTTCTTTTTGGGTCACCCTGCCTAGGTGGGAGACGACCGACGTGTTGAAAAAAAAATTAGGAGTACATAAATTAAAAGATGGTGTAGGTTACAAAAGGAATAATTCAGCGGGTAGAAGAGGGGTCATTAAGATGTTTTGGCTATTAAGAAAGGATGAAGCAGAATATAATGAAATTATCATAATTGATAATGTTTGATTCTAAGAACTAAAGGTGTTGTGTTTCATCCCACTGTTGCATTGTAATCCCACTGCTTGGCCAGCTGATCTTGAATCTGCTCACACTTAATTACATAAGCATAATACTGTTTTCTTTTATATCATCAGTTTTCCTTAACTTATTCTTCATGTACATCTAATGTGGTGTATGGAAAAATAACATATGAATGGTTTGTTGTATTCTTGTTACATTATAAATTATAAATGAGTTGGGATTATAAATTGTAGTGTAATGTTGATGGCAATATGCAGTACCATATGTACAGACCTTGTATATTTATATCAGTGACCAAAAAAGGAGCATTCAGTATTTCTATGATAGGTTTCTAACATTTTACAACATAGTGAAAAGATTATTTTAGATGAAATATGAATTTTTTTTTTTTTTCAACAAGTCGGCCGTCTCCCACCGAGACAGGGTGACCCAAAAAAGAAAGGAAATCCCCAAAAAGAAAATACTTTCATCATCATTCAACACTTTCACCACACTCGCACATTATCACTGTTTTTGCAGAGGTGCTCAGAATACAACAGTTTAGAAGCATACACATATAAAGATACACAACATATCCCTCCAAACTGCCAATATCCCAAACCCCTCCTTTAAAGTGCAGGCATTGTACTTCCCATTTCCAGGACTCAAGTCCGACTATATGAAAATAACCGGTTTCCCTGAATCCCTTCACTAAATATTACCCTGCTCACACTCCAACAGATCGTCAGGTCCCAAGTATCATTCGTCTCCATTCACTCCTGTCTAACACACTCATGCACGCTTGCTGGAAGTCAAAGCCCCTTGCCCACAAAACCTCCTTTACCCCCTCTTTCCAACCCTTTCGAGGACGACCCCTACCCCTCCTTCCTTCCCCTATAGATTTATATGCTTTCCATGTCATTCTACTTTGATCCATTCTCTCTAAATGACCAAACCACCTCAACAACCCCTCTTCTGCCCTCTGACTAATGCTTTTATTAACTCCACACCTTCTCCTAATTTCCACACTCCAAATTTTCTGCATAATATTTACACCACACATTGCCCTTAGACAGGACATCTCCACTGCCTCCAACCGTCTCCTCGCTGCTGCATTTACCACCCAAGCTTCACATCCATATAAGAGTGTTGGTACTACTATACTTTCATACATTCCCTTCTTTACCTCCATAGATAACGTTTTTTGACTCCACATATACCTCAATGCACCACTCACCTTTTTTCCCTCATCAGTTCTATGATTAACCTCATCCTTCATAAACCCATCCGCTGACACGTCAACTCCCAAGTATCTGAAAACATTCACTTCTTCCATACTCCTCCTCCCCAATTTGATATCCAATTTTTCTTTATCTAAATCATTTGATACCCTCATCACCTTACTCTTTTCTATGTTCACTTTCAACTTTCTACCTTTACACACATTCTCAAACTCATCCACTAACCTTTGCAATTTTTCTTTAGAATCTCCCATAAGCACAGTATCATCAGCAAAAAGCAACTGTGTCAGTTCCCATTTTGAATTTGATTCCCCATAATTTAATCCCACCCCTCTCCCGAACACCCTAGCATTTACTTCTTTTACAACCCCATCTATAAATATATTAAACAACCATGGTGACATTACACATCCCTGTCTAAGACCTACTTTTACCGGGATGTATTCTCCCTCTCTTCTACACACCCTAACCTGAGCCTCACTATCCTCATAAAAGCTCTTTACAGCATTTAGTAACTTACAACCTATTCCATATACTTGCAACATCTGCCACATTGCTCCTCTATCCACTCTATCATATGCCTTTTCTAAATCCATAAATGCAATAAAAACTTCCCTACCTTTATCTAAATACTGTTCACATATATGTTTCAATGTAAACACTTGATCTACACATCCCCTACCCACTCTGAAGCCTCCCTGCTCATCCGCAATCCTACATTCTGTCTTACCTCTAATTCTTTCAATTATAACCCTACCGTATACTTTTCCTGGTATACTCAGTAAACTTATTCCTCTATAATTTTTACAATCTCTTTTGTCCCCTTTCCCTTTATATAAAGGGACTATACATGCTCTCCGCCAATCCCTAGGTACCTTCCCCTCTATTCATACATTTATAAACAAAAGTACCAACCACTCCAACACTATATCCCCCCCTGCTTTTAACATTTCTGTCATGATCCCATCAGTTCCAGCTGCTTTACCCCCTTTCATTCTACGTAATGCCTCACATACCTCCACCACACTTACATTCTGCTCTTCTTCACTCCTAAAAGATGGTATAACCTCTCTGGCCAGTGCATGAAATTACTGCCTCCCTTTCTTCCTCAACATTTAAAAGTTCCTCAAAATATTCTCGCCATCTACCTAATACCTCCCTCTCCCCATCTACTAACTCCCCTACTCTGTTTTTAACTGACAAATCCATACTTTCCCTAGGCTTTCTTAACTTGTTTAACTCACTCCAAAATTTTTTCTTATTTTCATTAAAATTTCTTGACAGTGCCTCTCCCACTCTTTCATCTGCTCTCCTTTTGCACTCTCTCACCACTCTCTTCACCTTTCTTTTACTCTCCATATACTCTGCTCTTCTTATAACACTTCTGCTTTGTAAAATTCCAGAGTCCACAGCAGCATTCCTTCTCACCATCTCAATTATCGGAATCACTCCTTGGCCACCGTGTTGGCAGTAATACTGGCAGTCCTGTTTCTCCTAATGTTTACGGTTCTCCTATTACCGATGAAGCAGGACTGCACAACTATTTACAGCAACACAAAGAACGAGAAAAGCTGCGACAGATCAGTGAGTATCAGTCCAAAAGGGTAATTATTGTTTAACTTGAATTTCAAAGACTTAAATTTATCTAGTACAGGTGCTCGTCGCTTTACGATGGTTTGATTTAAAATATTTTGACTTTATGATGGTGCAATAATCAAGCAAGTGTTCTGTAAAAAAATTTTTGTATTGTACAGTACAGTACATTTATTGATAGGATAAACTTGTATTCATTTATTTACTTGTCAATACTAGCATTTAGTTAGTCACAGTAATTATTTGTTTATTATTCATTGACAGTAGCTATTTATTTATTCTATCATATTTATATTTGACTTACAATATTTTCAACTTACAGTGAGTTCATTGGAACGTAGCTCCCTATTGTAAGTCGAAGAGCACCTGTGCTGTATGAAAAAGCTGTATTTCAATCCAGCTCTTCAGTAATCTCTGTATAAGGAATATTAAGTTAACAAAAGAGCTTAACTCAATTTTACTCTCATTGGTGCCTTTATTTCACAAAAAGTTCAGTTGTTTGCCGCAGCCAACATTTTTATGATTATGGTATTCATCTGTGGAGTTCGTGATAGTTGCTTGAGTTTTATCATTTTACAAAATTATTTATTCGTCAGAGGACATTTTTGTATAAAATCATACACTAACTTTGCAGTGTCACAGTCAGAAAGCAATAATAATATGAACAGCTCTCTGTGGGCCTATGGATCACCGCCACTCTTGCAACTCTCAGATCATGGTAATATCCTCCGCAAGAATGTCTACCAGGCTGCCACCAAAGATATTGGTAAATCATTTTTTTTTTTTTTAATATTTACCACTGTTTACAGTATTTTGCATCCTGGAAATTATTTACAGTATTACAATTTAAATTTTTTTCACATTATATTCATGCCTCCTCCCCAATTATAATACATATTTAAAATCTTCCTAGAGTATTTATTCTATCATTTATTATAGCCTTTCAAATTTATCAACTTTGTGAGGCATGTGACTCCTACGATTTCCATTCAGTTATATTTACATTCTTATTTAAATTCTTAAAATTTCAGAGAGGTCATCTCTGTAATATTAATATGGCAGAGTTTTCTTACACTTTAACTCAGTGATGGTTATGTTGATCACCAGGTCAAGAGACTAACTCAGAAGACAGCAAGAGTGATGATTCGAAAGCTTCAACATTGTGTAGCAGCAGTGTCAGTAAAATATGGAGAAAGAGAAATGTCACACCCGAACAGCTCTTCCAGGTAACTTGTTTTTAATGGAAAAGTATGTATAGTAGTAATAAATCAAAGAGCACAAATTAAGCAAAGGAATATAATCACACAGCTGTTACATTTAGGTAAGAGTGATGAGGATGTTGCAGTTTGGAGAGTTATCTGAATTCTTTTGTCAGTACATTTCTGGCAAAAAAATTATTGAATGAATGATGATGAATATGTTCTCTCCTTTTTGGGCCAGTGATTGACTGAATGACCATGAATGTGTTTCCTCTTTTTTTGGGTCATTTCTACCTCGTTGGAAGGTGGCCAATGTGTTAAAAAAAATTAATCCTTACAACCTCTTTCTTTGTTCACAAAATAACCCACACATACTAAAACAAATATTGAATGACATTGTGGTTCATCATGGACCTTTATCAAATCAAGTCCTAAATAAAAAATAAACCATTGGACTTTTAATAAAGTGTAATTCCTAGGTTTCCCGTGCTCAAATTTCTCTTCTTTCTAGACATTTTCATGAATGTTAAAATTATTGTGATTGGAGCAGTATTTGAGGATATCTAGCTTTTGAAACAAAATGAGCTTAAATTGGATAAAAAATTCTTTATACAGGCATTATTTAGTGATATTCATGGTTCTTGGATTCACTGGAACTTCTAGGAATGTAACCCTTTTAAATTTGAAGGAATGACTACAGTATATTTTTTATTGCTGCCATGCTGTAATAAATTCAATAAGAGTAGCAGTATCCCTGTAACACGTTTTCAGCTAACTTTTGTTCTAATTTAAATCTGTCTAAGATCCTTCTTATAATTATGAGCATTTTAGAATGCACATATTAAAATTGTAAACTTATAATTCAGTCAGATGTAATATACCTCAGTTTTTTTTTTTTATGGTAGTGCTGCTTTGTGGTCTATTCTGTCTTCCCATTCCAAACCTTGCCCTTTCATTATTGTTGTTTCCACTCCGTATGATGGTAAATCTTTTTGTTTTTCTCACTGCCAATAATTGCGAACTGCTTCTGTTAGAATAGCTTGCCACATAATTGTGTCCTAATATTTGAAAGATTTATTTATATATGTCACTTTCACAATTATGATTCTGTTGTGATAAGTTATTTATTACTATAATTTTGCAGTTCACAGAAAATTTGAGGATTTGGATGTCAACAAATCTATTAGTGCCACTAGTACAAGATATTGACAGTACCAACAAGGCCTTGAGAGCAGCAGCGCCTGAGATACAGATTGGCTGTGTTGGTGTTGACAAATTGAAGAAGACGGCACAAAATATATCTGGCCTCAAGCAGCTGGCTGATGTATGTTGCAATTTTCTCATTCTTCAGCAATTTGTCATGTGTCATTAGTGTCATAAATGTAGATCGATATTCACTATATTCCCATATAGTGCTTAGCACAACTTCTTCTTTCAACAAACCGGCCGTATCCCACCAAGGCCATTCCTAGTGTTTGTTGCTAATGACACATTTATCTAAGTTAAACATGAATATATATAACCATAATTGCTTAATTTAGTTACTAAAAGTGTTATTGTACTGTTCACATACCACATTTCTCCCTCTAGCATTATATAATTAGGATACCTAATATCTTTTCTTATTAGGTTGTCCCCTTTCTCGACGTTACAATTCACCAAGACTACTTGGTTCATCGTCTTCGAGAGCTGAGTGCTGGTGGAGCTATTTCTGCTTATCGTTGGAATGGAGGCAGCTCTACTTTCAATGGAAAACCCTGGAAGGAAGAATACCCTACTGACACTGCTGTATGTAATAGTACTTACTGTTAAAGCTTTTTTATACACAGCATATGAATTCCACTCCATGGGTAAATGGAAAAGAATCTTTCTTCCATAAGCCATGTGTATCATAGGAGGCAAATAAAATGCCAGGAGCAAGGGGCTAGTAACCCATTCTCCTGTATAAATTAACTAAATGTAAAAAGAAGAAAAATTTATAGATTTCTTTTTTTTGGGGGTCACCCTGTCTCAGTGGTAGCCCTGGCTCTGTGGGAGATGGCAAGTATGTTGAAAAAAAAAAGTTTGAATTTCACCCATGCATAGCTAAGAGAAGATTAAGGCACAATTTCTGGATGTTTTGTATCTGTATTTTTTCACTATTACTGGGATGAGTATAGGGTGCACAACAAAACTATTGGTGATTTCCTACCTCAAATATTTAGATGTCTGGAATTCTTAGAATGATTCAAAACTCTGAAAACATGTTGCCCATTTTTAACTGTTTTATACATTGTTTTATCCATCTGTTCAAGGGTTGAAATGCAAATCTAAGCCAACCGTAAAGGCTGCAACTACCTCTTACAAATAATTAAAAGTGTACAGGTCTGTAATTACACTTTATCTAATTGGCATATACTGTTTATGCTAAGTCATATTCTTCCTTATTTTCCTGCCTTTGAGGAAAGTTTAATTACACTTTGTTTCTATTTTAGATATTATTGCATTTGTTTGCAATGTACATGGACCGTCAGTTGCCACCCGATATTCAGCAGCCAGAAGGTCGCATGTTCTCAAGTACCCATGTGATAAAGGCTCCAGAGAAACCTGTGAAGCCCACCACCAGGCCACTGCTATATTTCAGCCAGGTAATATACAGTACTTATGTGAAGCTATCCAGCTGGTGACAGTTGTCTATGGAAATAATACTGGGGGAGTGAAAAGTGCGTTCATCTTTTGCACTACATACTTCCCTTAGCCAATAAGTCCTCTCAGCCTTTTGTTGCTTTATAATCTGTACAGGTTGAGAGCATTTTGTGGGGCTTAGACATCTGGCAAGCTTGTGTGAGCATGTTAGATATGAGTAAATGGAGGCAAGTGGATTTTATGACTTGACATGCTGTTAGAGTGTGAGCAGGGTAACATGTATGAAAGGATTCAGGGGAACCGGTTAGCCGAATTTCGAATCCTGAAAATGGGAAGGACAGTGACTGCACTCTGAAGGAGGGGTGGGGATATTTGCAATATTTAACTGTAGTATTGGGCCCTTCTGGCAAGATATTATGGAGTGAATGATGGTGAAAGTGTATCTTCTTTTTTGGGTCACCCCTGCCTCGGTGGGAGATGGCCGGTTTGTTAAAAAAATATTAATAATAATGTGAAGACGAAGAGAATGATTACAATGAATTATAATTTAGAATGGGAATGATACACCAAGCTTTAGAAGATATGTTGAAATATATTGATAATCTTGTATTTTTTTACAGATAAACCCACCACATGTGAAGGTGGTTCTACCGCCAGATGAGGAATGTGAAGTCGGTAGCGGACGAAATAACTTCACTCATGCCTTGTTGCTCTTTGTCCACCATGTCACCCACCAGCAACACTCCCGTATTGCAAACATTAACCTCACTATGTCAGGAGTAAACCTTTCCTGGGTTGTTCGAAGTAGTTGAGAAAGGCATGCTTTATTTTCTTTGTACAGTATTAGCAAGTGTGAATCTCATTTTTATTCTTTGAACCTCAAATGTGTATGCAAGTTGAGTGAAGTTGGAGTGAGTTTTGTAATCATGTATTGGGGAAGTTGTCAAGTTTGACAACATACTTTTTGTGTAACTTTAGTAAAGTTACAGTAAGTTATGTTCATCATATTTTGTATAAGTAGAGTGCAGCTGGCATGAGCTATCTTAATCATTTTATTGTCTATGTTTCTGTATGAGTTGAGTAAAATTTGAGTGAAATAAGTTAATCATGTTTCTATGTAAGTTAAGTTTAAGTGAGGTGTATGTTAATTATGTTTTATGTAAGCTTAGTAAGTTGGAGTGAGCTGTGATAACCATGTTTTTATGATACATGGATTATTTTATCAGTTTACATCTTTGCAACTCATTGCTGTCAGTGTTGTGTTGCATTAATGAGTACTTTTTGAGCTGAAAAAGTTGTAAAACAAGGTCAATACTAAGAGGCTAAAGAGGCTAAATGGCTTCATTTGTTAAGTCATGACAGACAGTTTTGCAATTGATGATATTTTTGCAAATTGGAATTGCATCATCTTACTCTTTGACATATGATCAACTCTTGGTTCAAAATGGAACATATTACATGTACTGTTGTAAGCTAAAAATACATAGTCATGAACTCTACATGTATTTCCCATATGGCATTCTCTCTCTGAGTTAACCATGATAAGAGTACTCACACTCCTGTAGCTTGTTCTCTGCTGCTTTGATGTACTCATTCAGTACTTTTTTCTAAAATATTTTCTCATTCATCTTACATTCTGTTCATCACTTTCTTAGTTGTAACTTTAAAAATGCAATGTGACATCTTTATCTTTAGCAGTAGAATTCTAGAGCTTCTACACTTCTCTATCCTTATGTAAGGATTTATTTAGTCTAGCATGTATAATTTTGTTTCATAAAGAGTTTTTTCTTTAAAATGCCTTCTTCCTTTCTTGTGCACATTTTTTCATTATTTGTCCCTTTTTTTATTCATTCCCTAATTAATTTCATATTTGCATCATTTGTCTTTTGCAAACTTCCTTTTTACCTTAAATTCTTGTCTATTTTTTGTAGTGAAACAGCCTTATTTTCTATTCCTTTTTGCCTGTTGTGGTCTTTCACTGAAAAAGGGGCCCCACCTAATCATTATGGAAAAAGTTCAGTTTTCCACTGGTCATGTTCCATGGATACAACATGGCCCTGAGTAAGGTATTGTCTGCAAACTCAGAGCCTGCAATAATAAACAACAATATTTCGTCTAGGACTTTACAAATCTAAGTTTTATGCAAGTTTGTTATACTGATCATTATACAGAATATGAGGCAATTTTATGTGAATATATATACTGTACATGTATATATTTTTTTTAACACGTTGGCTGTTTCCCACTGAGGCAGGGTGACCCAAAAAGAAAGAAAGAAACAAAAGGAAATAAAAAACTTTCATCATCATTCAACACTTTCACCATCACTCATACTTACTATCATTGTCTTTGCAGAGGCACTCAGATTCGACAGTTTAGACGTTCCTCCAGACTTCCAGCATCCTAAACCCCTCCTTTAAAGTGCAGGCTTTGTACTTCTTATTTCCAGGACTCAGGTCTGGCTAACCGGTTTCCCTGAGTCTTCACAAAATATTATCCTGTTCACAAAACAAATGCTTGTCAGATCCCAAAATTCATTGGGCTAGTGAAAATTTACTGTCAAGACACCTTCCGAAAATAGAAAAATTCATAAGATAAAGGTAGGTTTTCTTGAAAATGGGAGATGATTCTTCCTCCTCTCTTTCTCACAGGCTTTTTTTTTTTTTTTTTTTGCTTTTTCTGTTTAATGTCCTCAGTACCTTTGAAGTTATCTTAACTATTATTTTCATAGTAAATGTATGAGAAAGAGAGCAGCAAAGAGAACATGTTTCTTGGCATCTGCCAGTGCATACAGGTGTCTGTATTGTCTTTCCCTCTTTTATTTTCTCTAGCTCACATTTCTATTATTATCATCATCAGTCATCTTCAGTTATTATCATCAGTCATTATCATTATTACCACAATGGCCATCTCACACCAATCATTCCTTCAATCACTGTTTTGTCAGTGGTGTGCTGACATTACAATTCAGATTGCCCCCAACTTCAACATTCCCACTTCCTCCTCCAGTGTACCGCCACTCCCTTCATTGAGGTCAATATCATACCAGTTATAAAACTACATGATTACATGTAACTACTTAACACTGTGCTACACAGTACAGTGGTAAGTAGAATAATAAATAAGAGGGCTGAGCCGAGCAGTAACACAGTGGAAGCAAACGAGGTTCAAAAATAATTATGAGAGTGTTCCATTATGTCAGTTGGCCAAAATTTAAGAAACTGGAGCTCAACCCCCTGCACATTCGGATAGATAAATATGTAATTATAGTACTTAATACTGTAGTGGAATTGTTGATTACATATAAAAAATAAATGTAAGCTCTTTATTATTAGTTTTTAATTACTCCTAACTTTTATTTATATGCAATAAGAAAATCATCAGGGGGTAAACAGTGCTATATGACCCTAGTGGGTTTAGTGCTTCTTTTTGATTATTACATTGTTTATGAATAATAATAATAATAATACAAGGAGGTAAATGAAACACTACACGCAAGGACAAGTGGGAGGTATTTATTTTCAATCCATTGAAAGCAATAGCAGATCCAATAATGTGGAACAAAAGCCATTCACCAGCATCAAGGAACCCCCCCCCCCCCAAAAAAAAAAAAAAGAACCGATAGAAAAATCCGGATTCACCACCAACAAGGGTGTTCCTGTAATCCAACCCCTCATGGAAGGTTCCTTGATGTTGGTGAGGGGCTCTTGTGGCCCGGTGGCCTGGTGGCTAAAGCTCCCGCTTCACACACGGAGGGCCCGGGTTCGATTCCCGGCGGGTGGAAACATTTCGACACGTTTCCTTACACCTGTTGTCCTGTTCACCTAGCAGCAAATAGGTACCTGGGTGTTAGTCGACTGGTGTGGGTCGCATCCTGGGGGACAAGATTAAGGACCCCAATAGAAATAAGTTAGACAGTCCTCGATGACGCACTGACTTTCTTGGGTTATCCTGGGTGGCTAACCCTCCGGGGTTAAAATTCCGAACGAAATCTTATCTTATCTTAATTGGATCTGTGCTCCAGTTCCCCGAATTAAGCCTGAATGCCTTCCACATCCCCCCCCCTGGGCGCTGTACAATCCTACGGGTTTAGCGCTTCCCCTTGATTATAATAATAATAATCCTGTAATCCAAATTCATCAGGAGTGTTCCTTCAATTCGAATTCATCAAGAGCGTTCCTGCAATCCAGATTCATAATCATGATGATGATCTTGCAATCCGGATTCATCATCAGGGTGTTCCTGCAATCCGGATTCATCATCAAGAAAAGTGTTCTTACAATCCAGATTCATCATCAAGAAAGATGTCCTTAAAATCCAGATTCATCATCAAGAAAGGCGTTCTAGCAATCCGGATTCATCATCAAGAAAGGTGTTCTAGCAATCCGGATTCATCATCAAGAAAGGTATTCTAGCAATCCGAATTCATCATAAAGAAAAGTGTTCTAAAAATCCGGATTCATCATCAAGAAAGGTGTTCTAGCAATCCTGATTCATCATCAAGAAAGGTATTCTAGCAATCCGAATTCATCATCAAAAAAGATGTTCTAGCAATCCGAATTCATCATCAAAAAAGATGTTCTAGCAATCCGAATTCATCATCAAGAAAGATGTTCTAGCAATCCGGATTCATCATCAAGAAAGATGTTCTAGCAATCCGAATTCATCATCAAGAAAGGTGTTCTAGCAATCCGAATTCATCATCAAGAAAGGTGTTCTAGCAATCCGGATTCATCATCAAGAAAGATGTTCTAGCAATCCGAATTCATCATCAAGAAAGGTGTTCTAGCAATCCGGATTCATCATCAAGAAAGATATTCTAGCAATCCGAATTCATCATCAAGAAAGATGTTCTAGCAATCCGAATTCATCATCAAGAAAGGTGTTCTAGCAATCCGGATTCCTGGGCTGAATTTATCTCTTGTGTGCGCACTCCCTGGCCAGCCTTAGAGGGGCTAAACTCGAGGGTTTTAATGATTTTCTGCTATATATGAAGTGTCATGGTGTGAGTATTGTTGGTGCCTGAGGTACACAACTGAAGGTACATTGTGATGCTCAGTAAGTGCTCAGTTACTGCTGTAATGCTTGTTGCTAAGGTGACCAGGGTTGCTTTGGTAGATGATTGTGTATTTTGGTTGTCATGTGGTGTTGACTGTGTTATGGTGACGTGTTTGTTGTGGTGTTGGTCACTGTGGTGGTTTAGTGGTGGTGTTGTGTTGTGGTGTTGCTTCAGGTGTGTTAGTGGTGGTGCTGTGTTGTGGTGTTGCTTGAGGTGTGTTAATGGTGGTGCTGTGTTGTGGTGTTGCTTGAGGTGTGTTAGTGGTGCCATGTTGTGTTGTTGCTATGCAGTGGTGCCACGTTGTGTTGCCATGCGGTAGTGGTGTTGCCATGTGGTGGTGGTGCCATGTTGGTGCTGCCATGTTGTGTTGGTGGTGATGCCATGTTGGTTGTTGTGGTGTCATGTTGTATTGGTGGTGCCATGTTGTGTTGCCATGCGGTGGTGGTGCCATGTTGTGTTGCCATGTGGTGGTGGTGCCATGTTGGTGCTGCCATGTTGTGTTGGTGGTGATGCCATGTTGGTTGTTGTGGTGTCATGTTGTATTGGTGGTGCCATGTTTGTGTTGCCATGCGGTGTGGTGCCATGTTGTGTTGCATGTGGTGGTGGTGCCATGTTGGTGCTGCCATGTTGTGTTGGTGGTGATGCCATGTTGGTTTTGTGGTGTCTTGTATTGATGGTGCCATGTTGTGTTGCCATGTGGTGGTGGTGCCATGTTGGTGCTGCCATGTTGTGTTGGTGGTGATGCCATGTTGGTTGTTGTGGTATGTTGTTGCCATGTGGTGGTGGTGCCATGTTGGTGCTGCCATGTTGTGTTGGTTGTGATGCCATGTTGGTTGTTGTGGTGCCATGTTGTGTTGGTGGTGATGCCATGTTGGTTGTTGTGGTGCCATGTTGTATTGGTGGTGCCATGTTGTGTTGCCATGCAGTGGTGGTGTTGCCATGTGTTGGTGGTGCCATGTTGTGTTGCCATGCGGTGGTGGTGTTGCCATGTGTTGGTGGTGCCATGTTGTGTTGCCATGCAGTGGTGGTGGTGCCATGTTGATGGTGCTGCCATGTTGTGTTGGTGGTGATGCCATGTTGGTTGTTGTGGTGCCATGTTGTGTTGGTGGTGGCATGTTACGTTGGTGTTGGTGCCATGTTATGTTGGTGGTGGTGCCATGTGTTGGTGGTAGTGGTGGTGCCATGTTATGTTGGTGGTGGTGCCCTGTTATGTTGGTGGTGCCATGTTGTGTCAAAGCTGCTGTGTTGCAAGTGTTGTATTGAGGGTGATGTGTTGTTGAAAGTGTTGTAGCACTCAGTGGTTGTTGTGGTGATCTTGAATTTTATAAGAGTACATATACTACATCTCATATAAAAACACATACCATAGTTTTATTTCATTCTGTCTCTGGCCCTGCCATTTTGACTTTTTGTGTATGCATGTATGAGTGCGTGTACTCACCTAGTTGTACTCACCTAGTTGAGGTTGTGGGGGTCGAGTCCGAGCTCCTGGCCCCGCCTCTTCACTGATCGCTACTAGGTCACTCTCCCTGAGCCGTGAGCTTTATCATACCTCTGCTTAAAGCTATGTATGGATCCTGCCTCCACTACATCGCTTCCCAAACTATTCCACTTACTGACTACTCTGTGGCTGCGTGCATGCGTGCATGTATGCGTGCATGCGTGCATGTATGCGTGCATGCGTGCATGTATGCGTGCATGCGTGCATGTATGCGTGCATGCGTGTATGTATGCATGCATGCGTGCATGTATGAGTGCATGCGTGCATGTATGAGTGCATGCGTGCATGTATGAGTGCGTGTGTGCATGTATGCATGCGTGCATGTATGAGTGCATGCGTGCATGTATGAGTGCATGTATGAGTGCATGTATGAGTGCATGCGTGCATGTATGAGTGCATGCGTGCATGTATGAGTGCATGCGTGCATGTATGAGGGCATGCGTGCATGTATGAGTGCATGCGTGCATGTATGAGTGCATGCGTGCATGTATGAGTGCATGTGTGCATGTATGAGTGCATGCGTGCATGTATGAGTGCATGCGTGCATGTATGAGTGCATGCGTGCATGTATGAGTGCATGCGTGCATGTATGAGTACATGCATGTCTGTCTGTTTTTTTTCTTATTTTTCTGTATATTATTTCTGTGATTTTCTTCTATGATTGACTTTTATTTCTGCATATTTGTTAATTATTTATATTAATTGCTTTTCCATTTATCTTCATCTTGTGTAATACTGCGCTTTCTTCAGCTGTATTTCCTCGGCCCTAGAGTGGCCAGGGAGTGGAATGACCTAGACAGCAAAATGGTAAGAGACAGGATTCATGCATAGTTTTAAGATTAGGTATGATAGGGCTCACACAGCATAAGATAGTGAAGCCAGTATCGACCACTGGAGAAGCAGGGCCAGGAAATCAAATCCTTTCTGCTTTAAGAAAAAGTGTCTGCAGTCATTATTAAATCTCTTTCTAATTACTTTTTTGCTGGTGTGGTTCTTTTTAGTGATGTTGAGTTCAGTTTGTTCTCAGTCCACAAGATGTGAGAAATTGTTCATATACACCACAAAAAAATTAGTTTTTGGTGTTGATGCTGCAGGAGTACTATGTACACTTTGAGGGTGTACATACCATCCCTCATGAAGGGATAGTACGTACAGGTCTCCCTCAACATTCGCATTTTCAACTTTCGCGGGCTTCACACATTCGCGAATTCCCAACCGCCAAATTCCCAGCTGCCAAATCATATTTAAGTTTACCGCCATAAGTCCTTACTACCCTCCCTCCGACCCCTGCAACTGGCAGCCAGCCCTCCCACCACTGTGTGGTGAGTGTTTTGTTTGTTCATTATTTGCTATTAAACTACAGTATAAATAATGTAAACCCATTTGTGACTGCATATTGGAATGGCTATTCGGACAGGTATTGGAAGGTGACATCATGTGTTTACTCTTGAACACAGCAAAGAATCAAACATTTCTACTACTGCTAATAATAATAATAATAATAATATTAATATAATAATAATAATAATAAATACGATAGAATTGAAGAAGGAAATTGTACAAAAATACGAGGGCTGAAGCAGTGGTGGAGGAAGTGGTTGACGCAGCGTCAGTGTGGCTTTCTTTATGCTGGAGTGAGTATTAGTCTCCGTGCTCTTCCAAACATTTCACAATAATTCATTGTATTTGGTGCTTGTAGATTGTGTGTGACTGGAGTGGTTGAGGCAGTTATAGAGGCAGTGGGTGAGGCAGCAGTTGAGGTAGTGGTAGAGGCAGTGGGTGAGGCAGTGGTAGAGGCAGTGGGTGAGAGTGATAGAGGCAGTGATATTTACTAACACATATGTTATAAATAATAATAGTACATTATGAATAACATTTATTATTATTATTATAAATGTTATTAATATTAACATGTACTATTATTATTTATAACATGTATGTTAGTAAATACCACTGCCTCACCCACTGCCTCTACCACTGCCTCAACCACTCCAGTCACACTCAATCTACAAGCACCAAATACAATGAATTATTGTGAAATGTTTGGAAGAGCACGGAGACTAATACTCACTCCAGCATAAACAAAGCCACACTGACGCTGCGTCAACCACTTCCTCCACCACTGCTTCAGCCCTCGTATTTTTGTACAATTTCCTTCTTCAGTTCTATCGTATTTATTATTATTATTATTATTATTATGTATTATTTTTATTATATTATTTTTATATTTATTATTATTATTATTATTATTATTATTATTATTATTAGCAGTAGCAGAAATGTTTGATTCTTTGCTGTGTTCAAGCGTAAACACATGATGTCACCTTCCAATACCTGTCTGAATAGCCATTCCAATATGCAGTCATAAATGGGTTTACATTATTTATACTGTAGTTTAATAGCAAATAATAAGCAAAACACTCACCACACAGTGGTGGGAGGGCTGGCTGCCAGTTGTGTGGGGTCGGAGGGAGGGTAGTAGGGACTTGCAGTGGTGGAGGCAGTGGTATTTAATAACATACATGTTGTTAAGGCATAACGTATGTATTTAGTACAATTTACGACATTTTCATGTATTTTATGATTGTTCGTGGTTCAACAAGTTAAGGAAGCAGTATTGTATTATATTTCCCTACAATATATTGGGGCACCAAACATTCACGGTTTTTCAACATTCGCGAGGCTCTTGATCCCCTAACCCTCGTGAATGTTGAGGGAGACCTGTACACCTGTGAAATGTTGGCTTCCAAAAATGTTGGGCAGCTGTCCTCCTGTAATTGTAATATAATAACCTTCATATAATGATTCTCTTCCCCATGGATATGTACATCCTCTCCTTACTTAACGACAGAGTTCTGTTCCTGAGACCATGTCAGTAAACAAATTCATCATTAAGTGAGGAGCATACTATAATGGTAGTGGGTTTGTGTCAACCATCTTTGATATTGTTGTAATTGTACCTTTGCACCATTTATAACATTTCTGATATATTTTTAGATGTTTATACAGTAGTGTACTGTACATTATAATAAATAGAATAGTGGAAATCTGCTCTAATATACATTATTTAGGTACACATACTGATCAGAGAGCCCATTATAAGTCCGAGTTGTCGGTAAATGAGTATGTCGTTAAGTGAGGAGAGACTGTACTCTTATGTTTTTTGTGGATAAATAAACTTTTTTCTTTAAATAAGTGAGTTTATTTCGATACAGGTACACATAAGTACAATTATCATATATAGTTCAACATGTGTAAATTATAACCCAAAAGAGGTCAGTGATTTATTTCTGTTTTCGATATTTTGCGCTTTTGTGACAATGGAAAATGCTTAAGTCGTGTTTTTTGTACATTATTGGTTATCCCACATTAAATCTATATAATGTATAATTTGTATACAAGTGCCAGTAACATGTACAGTGGAACCCCGAATTTCGTATTTAATTCATCCCAGGAGCTAGGACTAGTCAAAACGTCCTAAAGTCAAAGCAATATTTC